CATTTCACACTAACCCGGTCTCTTTACAGGGTGATTCAGTGTAGTATGCATAGAAAATACAAAGAAAATTCGAATAAAGAATGTTGCATAGTTCAGAGAATAAAATGAGCATATACCAAATTATAAATTACTACTCAAATAGTTGATATTTATACACACCAAAACTGTTCTACGTTCCTAAAGCAATTTTTACTCTTATTTACTATATCTATCTTCCCTCCTGTAGATGTATGGAAATGATATCTATTACGGATAGGTACACCATAATACAGTATCATTCAACATATCTGGAAATGTAACAGGTTGTCTGGAAATTGCCCAATATTTGATTACATAATATTAGTCTAAGCGATGTAGATTGGAATCAAATTACTAACTGGATCCGGAACAATACGAAACTCATCAAACTGTTCTTGTTTCGGATCAGCTTTAATACGACTGCGTCCTTACTGTTACTATATTGTGATTTATCAGTAAACATTGTTTTCAGTTTTAGGGAGCATGGAAGTAAAGAATATGAAAAATGTATGAGATAAGAGTTTTCAACCGCCTGTAGCTGTACATGATTAGCAAACTAGATAAATATTCAACATATGAGATGCCTGTACTATTTATCCAACGAAAAACGTTATAGGAAGTTGCAAACCTAGTTATTCTTTAAAAAACATTCAGGTTTAACTTTCTAAAATCTAGAAAATCGAATAACCACACACGTTAATAAGAAGGTCGTTTACTTCCGCCACTGAAATTTGATGAAAAATGATGTTGAAAATACGTATCTAACCTGGTGAGCGTTAGATTTACATTCTAACATAAATATACCCGCTTAATAGAAAGGAAAATATTTCGCTTTTTTCCTTGGCCCATGATTCTATCAATTTCCTTTTTTGTAAACACAATTTTGCCAGATCAATGGAAGCATATAATTGACTATTTCTGCTAAAATAAGTTTTCGGAATTTTATTTTGCAGAACGAAGAGTTGTCGTAACTTAATAAGCTGGAAACCCAGGCCCATTTGACGACTTTTCATTTTGCTTCAGGTCGTGAGCAAGTCCGTCTAAGGCAAATGCAAAAGGCATTGCAAATGTTTAAAATCTTCCTCATATGTAATACTGTCTGTGATCTTTCTCTCATTACAATATCGTAACGATAGAAATATCCAACAAAATTATTGAGCTGTATAAATCTTAAATCATTTATTTACATATTTAGTCATACATCAGCGCATCAAGACACATGAACACTGGAAAGCCCTAATCATTCATTTGCCTAGTAAACTGAAAAACAGCGCTATCGATTTTCCACACTTTTTAAATCAAATGTTTTTCACCACCCAAAAGTCGAAGACCAGTGAAAATAAACAGGCCCTCTCAAATTAAGTTTGAGTTGATAACACAAAGAAAATAAAACATCTTATTTCTTGACTGCAACCTTGTTTTCAAACGATATTATCTTTTTTTTGATTTTCAGCTCATCTTGATTGCGATTCCACCCCAGGATGTATACTGAATATTTAAACAAACTGATTATAACCCGACTGATATAAAGCGTGGAGCAGATAATTAACAGCTATTGAATTCCGGAAAATATTTCTATTCTTTACAAGGTTCCATTGAAGAAACGATAATTTCGGAAATAATATGGTCCAAAATAGCAAAACTGTTTATTTGTCTCATTAAGATCCATTTAATCATCTTTTATTAATATTTGAGTCGGAATGTTAAATATATTTATGTCGGATAATAGAGTAAATCTACTTCACTGTAATATGTGCTGCTGATGTGCTATCTTTTACCTTTTGTTGTCTAGTTTTTAATAAAATTCAATTTACTTGCCAGATATTACTTGTGGCTTTTTCCAGGTATATAAAAATAAAAGCAGCTCAGAAGTGAGATCGAAGAAAAACCACGTGAATTTATCTGCTTGTGTGCAATTTTCCGCTTGTAAAATAGTAATCCATCATTGCAAATAGTTCTTTCATCAAAAAGCCGGAATGACCTCCGCCAAACAAAATATTTCCATCAATCAATCACCCACTAGAACAAAATTGCTTTGGGTATATTTTCCGCTATTAATGCTGCCAAAAACTCCTTGATGCCATAGAATCATATGCTAGTTTTAGTTAAGAAAAACGTTGTCCTAATTTCAGGGTTGTGCACAAAAAGCAGCGACCCGCCGTCCTGATGGAACTAAATTGTGTGGCCATTTTACAAAAATTGTTTCGGCTTTAATTTAATTTTATTAGCAAGCGAGATTTAGATATAAATTTCACCATGTAATAAAGAAGTCGTGATTTGTTATCTCTGGTAACTTTGCTTAATCCAAGATTTGATTTTGAGAAATTTCAAATTTAAAGTAAGAGTTCAAATAAACCAATACTTTTATTCATATAATAGTTTTCGTTAGAAAAACATTTCCTCATAGATCCAAATAGATCATTAATAAGGATGCAACAAATCTATTAAATTATTGCTTTAAGATAAGATCATTTTTTACCAATAAGTTTTGGGAAATGCTGTCTGTCTTATGTATGGGTCAGAGCTGGTCTTCTGCAGGTCTGGGCTTTGTGGGACTTAATTCTAACTGTTCGCCCGCTAAAACACTTCGCTCGCCAGGTTATAGTTATCTATATGAGAAAATCGGAATTTTAAAAATTGTTATCAAAATGAGACTAGTGAAAAGGTGAATTGTAACAATTTCAACTTCTATAAAGTATAATGGGTTCAGTACAGTTATTACGAAAGAGGTAAACTGTAAACGCTTGGATTACGAAGATTTCGTCCAGAAATGAGATTGAGAGCAGCTCCATACCAACTGCAGGCGTACTCTAACTTGCTGAGCAAATATGATAGAACAGACAACAATTGAAAAAAGCGTCCATACAAGTTACAACTGCACTTTGAATTTGAGATTGTAGATTTTGAGTCCAGAGCTCAGGTATGATTTTTTGTTATAAATCTTGGATGCGATGGAAATTGTATATTTAGTAATCATGTATTTTATGAACAGGTCCACTGGTCCAAATAAAATCGGTTTTCTAGGTCTGAATCATAAAAATTAATTGTCGTTTTGTTCGGTTTTACAGCAAGGTTCATCAGTCGAATGTCACTAGCGAACGATGTTTTCCAACGTTAGGAGATCATGCAATTTCACAGTTGCAAGGCGAACCTGAAGGAATTGAAAAGATCAGCTGTATGCAAGATGAAGAAGCACTTCCAGGATTTGGTTGCAAGTAGGCCTTTTGCCAATTTCTGACCACCAAGATCACCTGATCTTACCAAATACGGCTATTTAAAGATCTATTAAACAACAGAACAGAGATAGTAAACTCGTTCAATTGACAGAGATATATGCGATTCATTTTATATTTGATCCACGTATAGATTCATACGAGTAAAATCCGCACTTCTACCATCCATCTATAAATGAATGGCTAATGAGTTAAAAATGTTCTTAAGATAATAATATCAGTAACACATCTCTTTGTTGTAATACACTCTTCAATACGACAACGCCAATGAAAAATCCATCTGAATATAGTTCGATACTATTAAATATTTAACTACTTTCCTTTTGATAAGTTTTGAGTTCTCACAACGTTTTATGTCCGAGTATATAGGTAGAGTGGTATAATTTTATACAGCGGTAGTAAGCAACCCTTTCATGTGCAGTGAATGAAATGGAAGTATATTTTCACGTTATTCTGGTTTATGTTTGTCAAACATACTTTTATTGATGGGGAAGGAAATGAAACATTCCTGTGTATAAATTGCCTAAACTGTAAACAAGACTAATTCTAGTTCTATGCAATTTGAAAGAACAGTTGGTAATGGTACAGCAAGAAAATGAATGTCATGTGGCCTATATTGCGTTATGTAAACAACTAGATTTCATTTATTTGATGTTAATTATATTTGCTTAAGAGCCAATAAGCGGGCATTCTAGGACAGGCAAGTGGAAAAGTATAATAAAGTCAAAGAGGAATGAATAATTGCAGGACTAAACCTGTGGAGAGAGAACTAACAAATTGAATTGAAAGGAGAGAACTTTTATTCTCTTTGTAAGGCATATTGTTAGTTTAGAAAAAAAAAAATTTCCTCGTAAATTCCTTGAGTCCCGTTGAGTTTAGGTATAGGACTCGTTACCTGAATAATACTTAGCATATAACGAGGAATTCAAAACTGAAATAGAAAGCACAAGCTTCCATTTGGGAAAAATAAGTCTGAGCTTTTTTCCATAAAACACTCCGCATAATTTTAAATGAATTTAGACGTTACTTTGTACGTTTTTCATAAACAAGTGGTTTTCTTTTCAAACACTTTTAATGAACGAGAAACCGTTCACTGTTTTCGAGTGTAATTGACCAGACTTTCATAGAAGAACGGTACGGCTCTAAATCAGCGTGTCATATGCAGAAGAGTTAATTTATTTAACTATTCCTATCCCGTAACACTTTCTTTTCAAAAACCTACAATTCCACATTTTAATACTGTTATTTTCAAATGTAGGACATCGCATCATGAGCTCGGGATTTGCAAAATGTTTGCGGATACACTGCCAGATATCAGATACCTAACTCGATTGATTGTGCTTTACACGCTAAGTATATTGCGCCTGGATATATGGTTCTCATTACCTTAGTTTGCAATGTTTTATTCAATTAGCAAATTCTGACCGTGTTGCTGACGTGGTTCACCGAATAAGGAAAATGAATGAAAACCGGTTTTGAGAGTGTTTCAACAATATATCATTCTATTATTACTACCTTTGAAGTCACAGGTCGGGTCATTGGATCATGAATTTTTATAAGATCTAAAAGAGAAATATGTCACGTTAGTACATACGCAAATTTTGAGGTGCTTTGGACATGATTGTACTTCGAATGTTGCTAATATATTTGTTTAGCAGCAAATCAAATGAGAAAAGTTTCCGTCAATTTAGCAATTAGAAGGTATGTCGACAAAATAACCAACTTGGTTGCGCTGCGTATCGTTGTTGGAAAACCCGGTTCGGAGTCTGCCGAGCAGGGTGAATTTTCACTCTTCCAGTTGCCTGAAAATCGCGGACCCGCCTGGATTTTCCGTGTTGCGTGCTCCCGGTTTTCTCCGATCGCCGAATTGGGAACGAAAAATTCAAGATCAAGAGGAACCTAGTCACTCGTCTTCATGCAAAATGGGTTTGTGTTATTGTTACAATTTTTTTTATTGAAAATTGATTTCTTGATTTTGGCATGAGGAAATATTGGAAAATATGGAAAAATTCAAAATCTGGATTGAAAATTGTTAAATTAGCTCAACCAGTAAGAATTACTGTCTTCACAAAATATTACAGTTTAAACCATAAAATAATTTGGAACATTAACTTAAATATTACGTTAGGACCTGCAACAAATAAATACAAAATTTCCTTTTTAGCCTCAAAGAAATAAAGTTAAGCAAGCAATTAATATTTTACATTGCTTTTCTAAATTATGCAACACCACCAACTGGTTCCCTGAATATATGTCAGTTTCAATTAACTACTCATGATGTCGAAATTTCGAAAGGAATCAAGAAACACCAAAAAGTAATAAATCCATCTTATGCCGTCAACATGAATTTATTGTTGTGCAAAATGCAAATTTCTAAGGAACGGATTGAGATAAATTAACGTGAAGTTTCAACTGTAAAATTAGCTCGAAGAGAAATGACACAAAATGAATCTATTCTATTTCGGGTGCAAGCAGCTGATATGTTCATTATCATCTGTACGTGGATGGGTGCCATTTTAATATGAGAACTTTATTTAGAAACATGCAAATAAAACAAATTTTACTCTGAACCTTCTTTGCGTGAGAGCTTTTCGAAACACTTCGCTCGAATATTTGCCGCCTGTTTCAATTAGATTAGGCCTTTTTTAGTAGAAGTTTTTCTAAATAATGAACGCATTTTCAGTTGTAGGTTCCTACACGTCTTTTTAGTCAACCAGTCGCTTTCATTAATAACTTTGTGCTTAGCTGAGTTCTGACCCAAATGCAGGTTTAGAATAATTCGCTCCGTTCTTTTCATCCAGTTTATTGCATTGTTTAATATTTTTCAAACTCATTACTAGAAGCAATTTAGTTTAATTACCGAAATTGTCTTACTTTTCCGCTACAAGCTATTAATATTAGGTATTTATTAAATTCGTGAAAATGTAGGCGTATTGCGATGCAATATTAAAATAAGTCTTAAGATGAGATGTGACTAAGGAAAGCGTTAGTAAAGGCAAAATTTCTACAGTAAACGTTGAATTCCGATCTAGGCAAGTTTAATGTGTTTGAAAGAAACTTATTTTTTTATTATTATATTTTTATTACTTACTGCTCATTAAACAGATTTTACCAAAGTAAATTAAAATGCAAATGGTTATCGTATCACTCTTAGACTTATATCAACTTAACAACAAAACAATAATAACAAATAAAGACATATGCAAAATTATTGCTCAGAAACCAGCTTTTATAAAAATCAGCTTTGTATGTTCGATTTAAGTATGTGAGTAGAAAGTCCGCATGTATGTGCAGCAATATGTACCTCATCTTAAAAATATGCCAATGTTTGCCCTGTTGACCTTTCCCGTTGCTTTTATTAATTTATTTTATACCATATATCTTCTATACACGATAGCTGGGAGAAAGTTTCGCTGCAAGTAAAGTTCATTTCATGTTTTGCTCATTATTACATGTATGTTTTCCAACTAAAAAGCTGTTATTAATGATATTTTCGGAGACTTTTCTAAAATAATGCGAGAATCAGGTTTCTCTAGTACTATTTAACATCATTAAAATTTGGAAAAGGTCGGGTGTGAACGGAGTTCCACTCCAACAATGCATGCACTTCACCCATTCCTGTAAGTAAGAAGTCGTAATTAAAAACAGACTCCAAGAAGAAGCTGTGAAAATTTAAAAATAGGTGTTTTAAAACTAAGATGACTCGGGATATATAGAGCTAAAACATTAATAAATGTGCGAAACTTGCAACAAACAGAACAGACCGGAATTTGTTTATAGCTAAACCGTCTATTAAAACAGCGTGCAACTTTCCAAGGATTTGTGTCCCGAGAGCAATTTCCTGTTGTTCTTGAGGAACACAATAATTTAATTATACTTTGGTCACTTTCCTGCATAACTTGGCGGCAATTCAAATCGTCATACAAGTGTGAATTCAGTGAGATTATTTTTAAAGAATATAGTTTGTGCAAACTGATGCTTGGGTTACTTAGAACAAAAATGGTGTATGTGGTTTGAGGCTACAGCCCCCCTACTTCGAAACGAAACAAATATATACAGGATAAATCAAAGTGTATGTCGTTCCTCTGAAGTTGTTCATAACAACGTTTATAATTTTCATTTGTAATTAATCATAAACGTAATCCCTAATGCTTTGTACGTATACTTTTAGTTATACGTACACAAAACGTACACAAAAGTATCAAGTGAATCTAACAGGGAAATAGGGAAAATGGCTCATTTTACTCATTATTCATTTAAAATAAATAAATCCTAGTAAGCCTTTAAAAAACTACGCCAATTTTGAATCATTTTTTGTACTTTGGAAACACAACTTTTTTGTCATGTGTTGCTCATTTAAGAATATTAATTTACCTAATAAAGTTGATAACATTTATTAGAAAGGCGAAAATCTATTAACTCCTTTCAATTACGTGTTAGCGAAACATTGATTAACGTCACAAATATTTGTAATCTGGCTTCATTGGTTTTCAGGTTTACAACATTTCCCGTACAATAGTTGTACGCAAACTTTGCTTGCTTCGGTCAAGCCAAAGCTAATACTACTACATTGTTTAAAACTTTTTCAAAGAGAATCTACTTGAAATGCGGAACAATGGTCACAAACCAACAACTTAGGACCTGATTAGTTTTCCTATCGATTTCGATTTATGTTATATAAACTAAATGTTGGTGTCTGTGAAAGTTCCAGAACTTTCAAAAAGCTGAAAAATTGTAAATCGAAGATTTCTAGAATAATATTAATTAATACACATTTTGTGGTGGAAAGTTGGCAGTAACAACAACTAGATTGTTTTTCAATCACATCTCAATTTTTGCAAATTATTGTGGTCACCAGATTGGCAGTGAGATGTTAAAGCGTGAGCCCTTTTGCTCGATCTCACCGTCCATTTTTCTACTTTACACCTTCTTTCTGCAAAATTTTCATTTTGTTCACTGACGAAAAAGTTGATTGCGCTTGTGGCGCATACACTTTTTTTGCATCGACAGAACAAGGAAGAACAATTTCTGATCATGCTTATTTCCAAACTAAAGCACTTTATTCCGAGGTATTCTCAATATCCCATCCCAATTTGTTCCCATCCCAATTTAAAGTTACCCTGAAAGTAAAATGAAAAAGTTAAATATCTTAGAATGTCGTATTATGACTGAACCGTACGAAGTAGGTAACCTTTTTCGATTTGTTAGTTGTCTTTTTTTCGTACATAAAGTTGGCAGATTAAATCAAAATAAAATGAAATTCTAAAGTTTCGGTTTAGTACTAGAACCATACACTTGAGTAATGAATGAAATTATTTTATTCGGAAAATCTAGAGACTAACTTGTAGCAAACTACAGCTTTGCAAACAATTATAACATTTTATAAAAATAATAAAAGCTGCAAAATGTTCCTCACCTCGATAACAATCCTCTTCAAATTTTTGTTTAGCATCGTTAATAGTTGGATTAAATAAATTTAAAATAAATAAAGTGTAATTTCTTCATGTTGTTTGGACAGAGTGGGTACATATATGAAGAATAGAACAAAATTTGCCCCATTTGCTGATCAGCACAATATATGGATGTCGTATGCGCTTTTTTGCTTAGAAGTGTGTGAAAATAAGAAAATAATTATATTATGTTTACAATTTTCGGGTGTCAAGCTTCACAATCATTGAATCTCATTCAGGAATATCTGTGTACGAAAATTAAAAACGCTTGATTATCATCACTTTATAATTTAAAACGTGTTGTTTCAAGAGGCCCAGACTTTTCTGTGTTCCCATTCTGCGGATTTAAAATTTTTCCCCCTTCGAAAACATTAGGCACAAGTTCATTTTAGCCTTTAAGCTAATCCGATGAAAAGACATACAAAACTCAAGTTTATACTTTCAAAGTGGTCCAATTTTTCAAAAATACCCTAATAACCGCCGGCAAGGAGATGAAATACTAACTTATATTTCACATTAATTTTATCAAAAAGTAGTTTAAGAGAATACAAACGTTCTTTCTTTTTCCTCATAAATAAATATATCTCCAACTTTTGAGATTTGCCTCCGCTATTGCACAAGACGAGAAGCTTTATATTATGTAGGTGGTTTACTAGCCCCTGCTTTCTGTTCCAAAATCCATTATATATTTACGGGAATAATAATATTTTGTATCAGTAAGCAAAATTATAATTACTCGAAAATCACTAAATTTATTAAGGAACTAATCCTCCGAACTTTCCCTCCGAAATATTTAATTGTTTCAACTAACTGCAACTAAATACTAATTTATAGAGTGCGCTGGTCGCATGTTCTGATTTAGAACATTTAATAATTCTAAATGTTCACTTTGCAGGATGGGCTCAAAAACGCTGAAGAATCGTTCTTACATCATTCTTCATACTGTAAATTACTTTTCAGTGTTTGTCAGACCCTTTGGGTTTTCAGATATTTTTCTTAATTCAATTGTTTTGCAATATTTCTGTCTAGTTATAAATACTCAGTTATTTGTGATGACTTTGTTCAATCCTCAGTGTTCGGAGATCGACACGTATGTATTGTGGAGATTAGAAAGGAAATACACATGAAACCTAACACGCTGCAAAGCTGCGAGTTTCCAAAGTTGGCAGCTATTAAATTATGAATGATGGAAAAGACACACAAGAAAATCGCTTTTAAGAATTAGTTGGTTCTGCAAAAATTCTGCAAAGTCAAGACAGTACAGAAAGCCAATATGGGAACAGAAAACATACTTGTGTTTCAATTCTGCAGTTTTTGTAATATTTAGATGAAAATCCATTATGTTCTGTGAACTGTGTTTTTGGGTCCAACTTCACCTTTTTCATATTGATTGCAGATTTCCTAACTTTCCTTAGAGTGAAGTATATTAGTCCTTTTGAAAAAGAACTGATTTTAAAACTTTGACACATACACTCA